TTAAACGCTAGTTAATTTATCGATTAAATCATTAAGAGAATACAACGGTTTGGAATCTTCGAATAGTGCAGCGCTTTAATTAAGTGCGACAAGCTTTGAGATTTCATTCGGCTGTCGCGAAGAGCACGAATAATTTGGAATAATTCAGGATAGTGCTGCGCTTTGAGCAAGTGCAACAAGCTTTTATGATTCATTCCATTCAGTCGTGAGCCTCAACTCGAATAGTAAACAAAACAAATCTAATTAAAATAGTCTTTAGACTGTTTCTGGTGGCAGCAACTACCGTATCGATCGGAATTTCGAATTTAGATTTCAAATCGTATCATCGCGTTCAAGCAAACGCGGTAATTCATCGAGAACGTGACATAATAAAATTTTTGGTTTGGTAAAATTCATTATAATCGTTATTAAGATCGTCTGATCTATGTATGCGTGTAATACATTTAATGAAATAGAAAGAATAAATATTGTCAGAAGAATTATTATGTTTATACAACAGCGAGATAAAAATTACATTTTTCTAACGATATCTCAATGATATCAACTACGATCATTTCAATCGAATTATCCGCACGAGCTTCTGTAACGCGATGTAACGATATCAAGAATATTTTCAAATTTTCATCGCACCTACCGTTTATTAGTTAAACAAGCAAAATGTAATCTCGAGTATATTAATATTTTAAGTAAAAGTGTTCTCTATGTATATAGTATCTATGCATGCACACGAGATAAAGTAAAGTAAAAGGAAGATTTAATCATTGCAAGCTTAAATTTTCCAAGCTTTTTAACTGAAAACACCTTCCACGGCGTGATAAAGGTGTTTACTTGGGTTCTTGGCTTCGGTACGCGAAGAAGGTACAGTTAATAAGCCAGGATCTTGGATTTATTAACTTTTTAACTGGTCCGCGCGCTTCTGCAACATTCGCGGTCGCCCTGTATAATCTGTACACCGTGGAGAATCACGTTAATTTGATTTTTCCGTAGTCATTTTGAAAACTTGCCACTTATTAACTGTCTCAAAGTAAAAACGACCAAACTTCTGGCAGTAATTTCAAGTTTACGCGAAAGTGAATCCGCGTTTCACGTTGCAGGAACGTTGCTACGAGATCAATGGCGCTATCAATTATATCGCCGATATTAATAAACAACCTATTGCCAAACATACGATACTTTCGTATCAGATATTAGAAGAATTTGCAAATATCATTTTTCCAACTCGTTCCTTCTGCATTCAAAATGAAAAGGTATTTTTCTGATTTTTGTTTCCTTATTGTCAGTCTTTTAGAAATTTTTTTAGTTGCTTTCAAACATCAGATACAAAGTTCCTGCCGCAATTTTCTCTCTTTTTAGATAAATCGATACATTTGTAGAATCGATATAATTTTATACAACGTGTTTCGGAATCCAATATTTTCAATTTCGTTTATGCATCTTGTCGCTCGAAACTTTACCGAACCATCGCACGAATAACTATCGCGTGATTGCCAGCGGACAAACGTTCGCGTAAAAATGCTTTCAGCAGAAAATTTTTATTTTATTTTAGTATCCGTATTATTGTACCAATTTTATTACTTTAGAGCAAATAAATCCTTTCCATGTTCGTCGATAATTTTACTCGTCAAGAATCACAATCGCAAATTATTAACTTCAAACGATGCTTAAAACCTCATTTTGCTACATCGTATCAGAGATCAACAAATAAATTCTTACGATCCACCAACGATAAAACCGCAGAGGCGCGTGAAAATCTCTCAAAAGCGTATTACGATATGTACCTAGGTTATCGAGAATCCGATAATGTTTATTTCACAAAAGCCCTCGTGTTCGTATGAAAATCGTTACTCTTGAAATATTTTCCAAAAAAAAAAAAAACTAATTTATTGAACCCAGGAATACTTCATATTGCCTTACCATGGCTTCGTTGTAATTTCGTAACGAATACTTCACATTCTCCTTAAAAAGATTGGCGAATGCATAGACTGTGGATTATATTGGGTCGTACGAAAAGTTTCTTTCGTTTTAGAAGGAAATAATGGATGCACGACATTTTCTGTTTTATATTATTTTATCGAATTACCTGTGATTCATTTTGTTCTATCGAAATAAAGATCACAACGTTCGATAGATTAGGTTTCTAATTTGTACAAAGATGGGTCGTTGTAAAAGACGTGTCTGTAAAAGAAAGATATTTTTCCAACAACCTAACACATACACATAGTGCAATTTTGACAAAATCGAGAAGAATAAAAATTTGTAGAATATACGAAGCGAGACATACGCTTACGATATTCGCTATTTAGATAAAACGAACGACAATCGATTTAATTTTTTTAATTATAACCACATTTCGTTCGTCGCCAGACATCGCCAAACGATTCAAAACGCGTGCACGCAATTGCCTTATCAGGTCTCGAGACAACAACTTGCCTTCGCTTAAGGAGATTGAATCACAAGAAACGCAAGCAGAATATGCTCGTAGCTTGGTCGTTCGAAAACACGGGGTTTGCGCGCGATATTGCCAGGTTCGACAGCGATTTATCAACGAGGTAGCGCGAGGTACACAATAAGCGGAACGGAAACATTTGCCGCTATTTCCTAACGCGCGACGTTCTTTTTATCGTCGATGCTCGAGCGGAACTCGTCGTTGCGACGTCGAATAACGTCGCTGAAGGAAAGGAAACTCGTTGTCCCGCGGAGACAGCGAGGCGCGGCGCAAATTTATCGCCATCTCTTCAACGGATTTATATACCAGCGCGGGATGATTTTTACGCGAACGAGGCAACAGCTTCTTCTTCTTCTTCTTCTTCTTCTTCTACTTCTTCTTCTTCTTCTTCTTCTTTGGGAAATGGAAGGTTGTATTATAGCGAAATGGTACTAGCTTCGTACCATTGCGAGAAGACGGCATGGTTCGCTTAAAGTGGCCACCGAGGAACAAAGTTGTAACGTTCGTTGCAAAGTTTCCAGCCGAGTTGGTTTGCATCGATGGTGAAAGAGATTAAATCGATGGAAACTGTTTTGGTATTGCAACGTTCAATGGAATTCGATAGGTTTAAGAGATTAAAGGATTAGGTCTGAACGCGTTGTAATTGAGTTTCGTGGGTTATGTGTTTTATAGATTACGTGTTTTGTAAGTAATACGTATTTTAGACCATATTGCAGTCAGCAGGAAATTTCAATATTCTACCATTCTGCGTTCGGATGTCCTTACGCACACTTGCTTTCTGAATTTCTTCTTCCTTCCTCTTTGCCCGAGGCGAGCTAATTTAAATTCGGAAATTGAAGCAAGACACTGATATATTAATGAAATTAACGTAAAACAAAGCGAATATCGTATATGGAAATACACGTATCTCGTAAATCGGATACAGGTATTTTCTTTCGCAGTTCGATCTTGCAAAGCGCAATTAAAATACAATTATTGCCATGTTTTACCGCGATATTCGTGAAATTATCGAAATTTAAATGATATCGAGGAGAACAAAGACGCGATAAAACGCGAACTTTCTACGGCGAGGAAAATAATCTTACGGGAACGTTCCATTAGCTACCACGCGAATGGATCATTAGAGGTACAAAATACAATATTTTTCCAACCGCTACGATCGAACTGTGCGTCGGCCAATTGAATTAAACCAAGGAAAAACATTTTACTAATGTCGTAAATACATAAAACTCTATTAAACGGACCACGTTCGGAAATTTTATCCATATTAAAATTTATTATTTCAAATATTAAAAAAATATTCCTACAATCAACGACGAATATTGTATCAAATGCAGTACACATATGTATAATTTATCGTGTATTTTCAAAAGTAAATTACAATTCTCAATGATATTTATTTACTTAACAGCTATTTATCGATACTTGTTAATATTTATTATTATTTATTTACTGACACCTATTTAATAATTCTTATTTATTTGGATAAGAATTCTTCCCTGCTAATTATGAAATAATAAAAATTCTCAGTAAGAATCATATCATTGATCAAAAAGATACCGAGTTATTTTTCTTATAGAAAAGGACGTCCTCGACGAAAACGATGTAAATTTTTCGAGGAAATCTGACGCGAAACCGATTGTCGTCACAAACGATTTCACTCGATCGTCGAAACGACCACGAAACGAAGTTAACTGTAAAATGAAACTTTAGTGGCTTACATCAGACTGACAAAGGACACGGACGCGTGTCACGCCGATAAAATCTCTTCTAGTCGAACGGCGACGAAATTAAGAGGAAAGTATTTGACCGTCGTTCGACAGAATTTTCTTCCTATGAAAGTTAGAGTAAATGCGAAGAGGAGAAACGATAACGGATAAAACAAACGCAACCAGATATTCCTCGTGAACGGAGAGTTAACAACGCAAAGCTTTTAGGAACGAGAAAGCACGAGAAGCAGAAAGAAAGAAAGACAATGTCGAACTGGCAATTGGGACGGAATCGATATCCGCTGGTTTATTTTTCTAAGAGATTTACCGATTTACCGAATCCACTTTTTCGCGTGTATAACTCCGTCTTGATTGCGATACAGTTTTGCGGAAACTTTTTATCACAGCTGTGCTAGAAATTAGAGACAGAGCACGTTAACTGCTTCCTTGCGATATATTATCATACGATATAGTAGAGGAAAATTTGTTCTTCGATAGTTTGTCGCTTCGTTAAATTCTAATACAAACGAAAAATCGTACGTCGCGCTCTAAAAACTTTGTAGAATTTATGGCGCAACAGCGACGTAATAAAACGAATTATTCCGTGAAGCAAGATTTTGCCAAAGGAAAATCCTCCGAAAGGATAGGAAAAACACAAGAGTTTCGTGAAAAGGGAAGCACGATCGCGTGAGAAAACTGTGGATAACGTCATTTCTGAAATTCTTTAAGAAACGTCCTGGTCGCTGAATTCACTGCGAGATTATACAACTGATGCTCCGCCGAGGATCGAAATATGTACGAGCACTGGCTGCAATGTCGAGGAAAGAAGAGAAATGAGGATTTACCTTAAGCGTATCCTGCAGGTTTTGTACTCTACAGTGCATATATACTTGAGCACCGAGTTGCACGGTAATGTTGCTCTCTGGATCTTCGAAAAAGGGCCTCGGCTCCGGAGTGCCGCCCGTCTCTGTTGCGAAACTTTCCACCTCGTATACCTGTAAATCACAAGGAAAACATTTCACAAATTCCCCTGACATTTTTGTCTCGCGTTTTTTATGCAAATCTCCTATCCCAATCCTATTCAACATTTTTATTACGTCGGTGAATTGCGTCTTACTATTATCCGTAGCGTATTATTATCCTCGTTGCTGTAACGAAATCGTTTTAGCAAAATTATCGTCCGTTTATCGGATTTTTCCATTTATATCGCAACGTGTTAGGTCGTCCGAAAAGTTTCTTTCGTTTTATAAGGCACGACATTTTCCGTTTTATGTTATTTTATCGAATTATCTACGATCCATTTTGCTCTATCGAAATAAAGATCGCAACAGATTCGACAGATTAGGTTTGTTAGACACGTTCGTATAAAGATGCGTCATTAAGAAAGACGTGTCCGTAAAAGAAAGACACTTTTCCGACAACCTAATACAAACACCGTTTCGATAACATAAAAAGATGGATAAATTGCATAAAGAGGATCTCGGTGAAGAGAAAAAGAAGAATTTTGTTTCTCAATAATTTTCATCTACTTCCGTCCAATTTGCCGTCTGACGTATTAACGTACAAATAATATAATAACGCGATACTTGGGTTTCGTCGAAAGGCTATAAATTACAGAAGAAGAATCTCGATAAGAAGCAAGGGAAGAATTTAGGTCGAAGAGAAAACAGATTGGCCGCTTTGTTAAAAGTAACGTAAATATTTGAAAGGACTTTTGTCGTGTTCAGCTTCGCGTCGTCATAAAGAGATTACCGCTTTGTCCAACAAGCAGCTGGAGAAACGCGACAAAAAGTGGGCTTCGTAGCTTTTCGAAAAGACATTTTAACTGCTCATTCCAATTATACAGCCGACTTACCTCGGTAAAAGGCGAACTGAGCTCATGCCAGAACGACCTCGGCAGGTTTTCCAGTCCAGGAAACGGCTTAGCACCTGAAACAATTTAGAACCAGATTATACGTTTCGCAGTCTAAGCTTTATTACACGGATACAACGATATAATTAAACTTTCCCGCAGATTTACTGCCCTCTCTTATATCCACACTTCTCGTTACAACAAACCAACGACACCCTTCATTATTCGAACGAATACGAGCGTGGTTAGCCTGATTAATCGATTCGACGTACATTATTCCATGATAACGAAAATTTCATTAAACGCCATAGAAACGTTCGACCGATTAAACAGGTATTATACGTAACCGAATTGGCCTTGTTACGCGGTCCTCCAACGTATGATATTCCTCATAATCGTTCGAAGGATACAATTTTCACGCTTTGATTCGATTTCACGACGAAAGTTAATTTCAAATCTTTATCTCATTTTATCGATTTTTAAATCTTACATCGTCTTTACTTCGACGTAATCTTACGTCGACAGATAAAAGCATACTTGACGTTGTACGATAAAGTTTAGCTTTGTCATCGAATTAAACTGGAGGGGAATTTGAAAAAGATCGACGATAGAAAAGCGCAAAAAAATGATTCAAAGTATACGATAGAGCGAAATACAGTTAAAATTCTGTTGCGCTTAATAAAATTTAGCGGCTTCATGGATATCTATTTACTACGAAACCACGTACGTGTGTTCGCTCTGGTATTTTCGCGTCTGACACGTTTCCGTTGGGAAAACATTTATACTTTTTTATTATTCCGAAATATAACTAAAACCAAACGAGTAAAACTTTTATCTAAAAAATGTTTTTGATGGATGCATGAAAAAATGGTATGCATGACGTGGTTATAAAACAAAATCAATCGATGCATTTTTTCATTGCGGCAATGCGTGGTATTTCTATTGTTCGTGTGTGTATTTCATACTGTACTGGGTTAAGCTTCGAAGCTAAGCTCGTAGGATTAACAATTATATATCGACGATCCCGTGATCTCGTTATTTAAATCTTATGGGGAATGTTCTAAACGTATTAGATAGGAAATTCATAGAAATATGCCAAAAATTTCGATTTTTAAAACGACCAGAGAAAATACAAAAAAGAAACGTCGTTATTCACGATCGATAAGATTTTTACCGCAACATGGAACGAACAGATTCTTTATATTTCGAGTAAACGAATTAACTGGCGTTGCTTCTTAACGAACAAATCTTCGTTTCTCCGACGAGACGAAAGAAACGAAAGAGACTCGGTTGGCAAGAAAGAAACGAAAGTTTTCTCGGCGATCGTTCGAAATCACCATAGTAAACCGAGATCAACGTCAGAACGTAGATCCCCTGCCTGGATTCTGTTTTGCAAAGAAAAACAAAACGTTGTCAGTTGTCGGGTCGGAGAAAAGCAATGACGCCGCGTGCAAACAGCAACGACCACGTCGTTAGTGTAATAGACGCAGAAAATCGAATTACTATGGAAACAATGGCCAAGTTGGAGAACGAGTGCAGCGCAGTGGAAAAGTTTTTCACTTTGCAAGGGGGAGTAGAAGGAAACTCGTTCGACTGTCGACGAATAGAATGGCCTTATCAGCAGCCAGCACACGCGGCCGTACGCGACTTTCCAAGACGATACACATAAATGTATTCCCCTCGCAAGGCTACACGCCGCGTCGGATACCAGAGAACAAGGGAAAACTTTGAAATAAGAGATCGGCCGTAAAAAGCACGAATAGAGAAGGTTGACAGTGTTCTCCTATTGAGTTATGCTCGTAACAATGATTATATCTCGCTGAAACTTAATAAAGCAAGGCCGTATCTGTAACGAAGTTTACTTCAAACTTCAATTTTAGTTTTGATTTTTCATATTACTCTATGCAAATTATTAAATAGAAATTGTTAGATGCGAGAGAAACTGTATGGAAACTTCGAATAAGGGTCTGTAGCACATTTTCGTCAAAGTTCAACTTTTTAATTAATTACCCCGCTAGACGAGTTTGACAACTTTCGTCGGTCGTTCGTTTAAGAACATCGCTTTGCAATTTTCCAGTTGTAAAATACTCTGAGAAACGAAAACAGACGAACGAACGTAAAGAACCATGTACTATAGCAGCCATGTATTACAACGTGTTGGCAAGTTTAGGCACGTAAAGCTCGATGGTCACAAATATAGGAAGCTTGAATCCGCGATTGGTAAGAGGCCACAAAAGTCCCAATAACGAACATAGTTTAACACTTTGATCATTGGTGGTCATTGGTGACCGGAGTGCTTAAACTTCTTACAATTGTAAAAATTGCATAAAAATTGACAGTTGGGACATTTTAAATATCGATAAATAGAGGATACTTTGAAATAAAAAGTACCCCATTGAGCGATTAAACATTTTTATTGGAACATCGATAAAAAAAATGAGAACAAATCTTGCATCTAACGGTGCACTGTGTTAAAACACTTTAAACGTAAATGTGGCTCGTCGATACAATCTGGACGATAGGTGGTCACCTTTTTCGTCCGATTCTTAGCAATTTTTCATCCCAACTGTTTAACATTTTTTTTTATACCACTCTCTGCAAAATTTTCCTGCCAGATAAGCTTGCCCTTCTTTCTTCCGCGTTTCGTATCGCGATCTTTGTCGAATAAGTATATTTCACGGCTCTGATGAACGACATTGTGTAAGGTGCATTGCGATTGCCATTCTAAAATCCGATACCCTGATTTTTGTTTTTGTTGCTTGTTTATGGAGTATCATCGCGTTTGAAATTGACGTATTTAACGATAACTCTAAAGTTAATTTTATGTACCACTCGAGGGTTCTTCTATGTGGTGTAGAATACGCTATCGTTCGATCTGATAAATCTACGGCACATGTTTCTCTGTTGTGATCTACCACTATCATTGGTTTATCGCGAACATAATTTTTTTTACCTCTACCATTTCAGCCGAATGTTTCGTCGAAATCATAAAAATAATCGTAATACTGTTTACTAATATCTTCTACGCGTTTCAACGATATATTCTGCACGTTTTGCTTACGACGAAATAACGAGTGCGAATGATTTGTCGAAATAAACGAAGCCTCGTTATAACATGTCGCTATCGACTGTTACCAAGGCGCTACGATGGTCACCTGTGACCACCAATAAGATAAACGGTCCATTGGGGAAGAACGTTGTCTTACATCGTCGATTTATTATTATTTTGCCATTATATGCTTCGAATAATAAAAATACTCCCGTGGCGTCCTGAGCGAAACGCGTGATTTTGACGTGGCAGTCAAAGTGTTAACCGCAAGACCATGGAAATTTGTATCAAGTATCCTGTGGTCGTAGGGTATACCTCTAACATCAGAACAGTGAAACTCATAGCGTCAACGACTTGACGTCAACTCGAATAACGTTAGCTTGAAATAATCTTGAAATCATCAGACGTAGCACTAAACTACGCCCCAGAATCGTAAAATTCGGGAAATTTGGATGCTTATGAAATCTTTAAATCACTGACTATAATTCTTTAGTAGGTGTCAAAGTCATAGAATTCGACAAGAATGCGTATTTTCAACTTTACCAAAGTCTACATTTAGTTCAGTAAAATTTCACATCGTCTAACTAACAGATATGTAGCAGTGTTATATAAAAATTGAACGAAGTGGTAGGCTAAATCAGAGCACATTATAGAAATACGAATCATTTATTCGTTTCGATTAATTTAAGGTATTGATCACATTATTAGAGAATATTAGAGTCGACATCATCGTAGGATGCAGAATTCAGGGCTCTGGCACCTACGCTTGACTCGTCTGTCTGGAAATCATCCACGCTGCAACCCTCATGACCGACCTCCTTAGTATCCAGTTCCATGATCGTTTGTGTCGCATGTTACAACCACAGGTTACCGATATCGAAGTTCATTAAACAAGGGTCATCTGTGTCGCGTTTCACCAGCTGGGAATCTCGATATCGAATTTCCTGACTATCAAAGTTACTATAACCGAAAACCGACACGAAACAATCGAATGTAACTTCCCTTTACGCGAACAATTAATTTTTTTTTTTTTTTTTTTTATCGTGAGATATTCGATTTCAAACGATAAGCTTCGAAATGATCGAAAGAATACAGTTTTTGAAATGTACTATTTTCTTTTTAGTAGAGGATGTTATTTTTTAATACTGAAACTGCCAAGCTGGTCAAAACGACAGACTTTTGTCTTCGCAAAAAACATAAACGCGTACATATCATTAGCGAAGCTAATGTTTAATTTTACCGAGATAGAAATATAGTTACGCGCACTCGTATCGAACGATTTGAAAAACGCGTGGCAAGTTGTAGAAAACGAGGAAACTGGTTAATCGGGGTTCGATAAACGGATCGCAGCACCCTTTTACGCTTTGACATGTACCAGTCATTTCGACTGTTATTGGCATAAGCAGCCTTCATACCAAATTATTTTGAGATCGAATACATAAAAACAAAATAAAATTCATTATATTATTCTTTGTGTTATCGTTGCGAAAGACATTACATCTTTATTTTATTTATTTATAATTTAAAATAAAATTGTAAAACCAGTCGATTTGACTGGCGTGGTAGTTCTAGTGTTAAATAGTTATCTTATTTTCAACATTTAAATGCAGGAAGCGTAACGATTACTCGATATACGGCATTTGTATCGAAAAGGTTGAAAAGAAATAGGATGAAAGAAGAGGAAGAAGGCAAGTAAAAACTCACTACATCATTGCGGAACAAAAATATAACACGAAGTAGGAATTTTAAAATAAAATTGTAAGGCCAGCCAATTTGACTGGTATGCTGGTTCTAATGTTAACGACATATCTGCGAAAGCAGATTTCAATCGATCGATGCAATGCGTTCGAGCAAAGACGCGATCGACTACTGCAATAATAACTCTGTTTAATCGCTCTTTCTTCGGTTTGTAATTTCGCCGAGGCTGGAATGAAGTGCCGCTCGTTAATTTAATCGCCTTCGGCTCGCAGCTGCGTGCTTCTCGCATCGTTTCACTCTGCGATCCCCAGATATGCACGCGTATGCCTG